ATTAAGTAACTTAAAAAATTATATCGGTTTTTAATGACGTGTAATTTTTTCCGAAAAAATGTCACCTTGGAACTGGCTGATTTGATATGTAACACCTGGTTCAGAGAGCGGAGGCCATCTATAACTTCTGAGCCTTGAGACGTAAATTCTAAGTTATAGATCGGTGTTTCATTTTTCCAAAGGGGGCGTTCACAGCGACCGCGCATGGCATCGACAGGGGACTAGTACACAAGTTGACATTGTACCAAGTTTTAATGACATGTCGATTTTACTTCACACGCGCAGCCCTAGCAGGAATACTGTACGTGCTTCCACGTCATGAACCGACCGACTACCTTTGTACGAAATAATAAACTGTTTATATTTGTATACTGAGTGACAAAAAAAGGTAACCAGCTACGTATATTTATCCGTTTTGATCGTGCTGGCAAGGTGGTCGATATCCTGTTGGGGTATCTCATTTCAGGCTATTGCAACTTCGTGAGTAAGAGCTGCTAAAGTCTGTGGAGAGTGTTGCAAATTCAAGAGCTTGTTGGTCCTCCTAGAAACTTCTCTTATCGATAGACCGGCTTAACGCAACCCGACAATTCGACCCCTCTCAAAGTCACTTAGCTGGGTCACCCGGCGAATTCCAGGCACTCTAGGCATTTTGAGCAATCACAAAAAGGCTTCTCAATAAACTACACGAAATTTAACATTTAACTGACACCGTAAATGTACGAAAACTGAATGTTTCTTTATCACCAAACAATACACGCAGCCACCACAAAAACTTAACAGAAAAACCTGACTATTTTTTTACTTGTTGTTCATGGCAAAATAAATCGATATGTAAAAATTCTTGAATTCTAATGGGTGATTTTTTTGCTAGTATCTTTTTGGCAACACTGTTTTTGACAGATGACACGTGAATCGTCATTGTAAAACTTGTTCAGTTTGGTCTATAATTTAGCCATGAATCAACTTACGAACGAACAACGCTTGCAAATTATTGAATTTTACTATCAAAATTCATGCTCGGTTAAGAGAGTGCATCGAGCACTGCTTCCAATTTATGGGCAATTTGGTCGACCTACTGAGGGAGCTATTCGGAAGCTTGTGACTAAATTTCGAACCCAGTTTACATTATTGCACATTAAACCACCAACACGCAGACGTAGGGTGAGGACTGAAGAAAATATTGCGGCTGTATCCGCCAGTGTTAGTGATTACCGTGAAATGTCGATTCGCCACCGTTCGCAGCAATTCGTGGAGAATTTTGCGAAAGGATTTGGGTGTAAAACCTTATGAGATACAGCTGGTGCAAGAATTGAAGCCACACAACCTCCCACAACGTTTCCAATTTGGTGAATGGCCGCTGGCAAAGTTGGAGGAAGATCCACATTTTTATCGAAAAATTGTGTTCAGCGACGAAGCTCATTTCTGGTTGAATTGGTACGTTAACAAGCAAAATTGCCGCATCTGGAGTGAAGACCAGCCAGAAGCATTGCAAGAGCTACCAATGCATCCCAAAAAAATCACTGTTTGGTGTGGATTATGGGCCGGTGGCATCATCGGGCCGTACTTCTTCAAAGACGACAATGGCCGGAACGTAACTTTGAATGGCGAGCGCTACCGTGTGATGATAACAAACTTTTTTTGCCCAAAATGGAAGAGCTGGACTTGGCTGACATGTGGTTTCAACAAGTCGGTGCCACATGCCACACCGCACACGAAACAATGGCCCTATTGAGAGGCGAGTTCGGTGAACGGTTTATCTCACATTTGGGGCCCGTCAATTGGCCGCCTAGATCGTGTGATTTAACGCCGTTGGACTATTTCTTGTGGGGCCATGTTTAGGCTAATGTGTACAGGGATAAACCAGCAACGATTGACGCACTGGAAGCCAATATTAAAGCATTTATTCGTGAGATACCGGCCGATATGTTGGAGAGAGTGTGCCAAAATTGGACGTTGCGCATGGGCCATCTAAAGCGGAGCCGCGGCCAACATTTACATGAAATAATCTTTAAACATTAAATTATATCGACCGTTCTATCGACTCAAATAAAAATTTAATCGTTCTTTCAAATTTTTTGTGTTTTTTTTTGAAAATCAAATCCTATACCTCTTAAAAAATCACCCGTTAATAAACATTCATAGATGTTTATCTTTTTTTGTCACTCTGTATAATATGGTATTATTTACTTATAGGGAACAGGTATTACCGTGGGTTCTGCGAAATAATGGAATTTATTTAATTAATAATATATTTTTTACGTAATATCACTGTGCCTTGTCCGGATTTGTACACACGACTAGATGACAAAAAATACTTCCGGGATTTAAACAACAGATGCTGCAACTGGCAAGATAGACGTGATACCACGTTAAAAATAACGACAAAATCACACCTCCCTATCGTACTTCCCTGTAGTAGCAAACTCTAAATTAAAGATAGCCAGATAATCTTGGCACATTTGGGCTTCCGCGTGTGTGTTTTCCATGGAATAGTAGAGCACATCGAGGTCTGGAAAAAACGAACGAAAGGCTCTCCGCATCAGGGGTCAGTATCCCGTTAAGCCGATTTAAAGAGGTGTCGAAAGTATTTCGGGATTTCGAGCCTTGATGAATGTTACGTGGAGATAACAATGCTCGTTTCGCCTCGCTCTACCAGCTCGACAACGACACTCCCATTTAGATGGTAATTTCGACGGACACTGGTTTTGGTTTTCGGGAAAACCTTTCCGTGCCTCTTAATTAATCTGCCGTATAGCTGGAAACTCTAAAGCATTGTTCATGGAGTGATACATAATTTACGTGTGTTATGCTACCTATTACAATCCGTGGATTACTTTATTGCTTTTTGTTTGTTGTTGTACCATGAACAAAAACCAGGTACGATCTGGCCCATGTACCACTGGTCTTCATGGCTCTATGAATCTATGCTAAATAATGATTCAAACTACAATCTGATTTGTAAACAAACAGCACTGTACACCTGCACGTCGAATCTTCCCACCTGGTTATGTGCTAAACCAAAGAATTCCCAAAGTGGTCTATATTGACCCCTAGGGGTCTATGACAACCTGCAAGGGGTCTACGTCAGCGAAAAAAAATTTGGGGGTCCATGAAATGAATATGGGGGTCCACGATAGTGGATCTCAACACATACACTGATAGTACCTATTTACTTACATCATACTATCTTATAATATCAAAACATATACATTATTTATAAAAGTACCTATGAAGTAAAAAATTTATTATATATGTTTATAAAATTGTGTAAGTTGTAGGATGTTGGTATTCGCTTTGTGGTCGCAATACATTTTGAACTTGTAAAAACCTGAGAGTCGCAGTCTCAGAGCTTCGCTACCTTGCAATGACTTGTTCAATTCGTCACTCTATAAATACGAATGTGGGACAAATACGTTTATTCGTTTCCTGAATTTTGAAAAGGAAAGTGCTAAGAAAATGTTTTAAAAAATATAAACAGATAGTATATCACACAAATTATAGTGAGTCAGTGTTATTTTGTTTGAGAGTGCTGGAGAAAAGTAAGTACATTATTTTTTATTAAATTTTAGTTTTGTACTCGTAGTTAGCAAAGATAGATAAATTACGCCAATCATGACATTAGTTATTAGTAGTTAAATATTCAATCATGCAAAATTACACGAGTACTCCTCAATAGTTTCTTTTTGAAAGTTTTAGCAATCGGTAATATAATTACAGTGCAATCTCCGTAATTCGAGCTAATTGTTGCAAGATGTTCGAATTATGGAATGTTTTCGGAAAAATCAAAAAATATTTTTAATATACAGCTGCTGGATTTTCTGTCTTATTTAAATAATTTAATTTTGCCCACAGATGACTGATGCCATGTCCGAATCTAAAAAGAAATGTAGACAGTACAGTGTTGATTATTTGAAATTTGGCTTCATTCCATCATTGCCGGACAAACAATCGTCTATGTGCCTTTTATGCAACAAAATTTTGGGCAATGACGCTATGGAACCATCTAAACTGCAAGATCATCTGAGAAGATGCCACCCTGATAAAACAGAGAAAGATTTTAAATACTTTCAAACACTCAAAGATAAATTTCAGAAGAGACCTACACTGGACAGAATGTTCGCTTCGACTTCACAAAGAAATGATGATGGTTTGCGGGCGTCTTACAATATCTCGTTACTTATAGCAAAATCCGGAAAACCGCTGAGAGAAGTTAATTTTGCCGGCCGTTGAAGAGGTTTTAAAAACTGTTTTACAAAAACCTGCATCTGATATCATTAAAAGAATTCCCTTAAGCAACAATACTGTTGAAAGACGTATTGATGAAATGAGTTCTGTTATTGAAAGCTTCTTATGTAATTATTTGCAAATGAGAACTGCTCTTCGCAAGAACTTTGATAACCGACACTAAAGGTGAATCAATATTTCATGTTTTGAAGGATTACTTCAATGAAAAAGCAATTCCTTTATCAAATTTAATATCTGTAGCTACAGATGGAGCACCTGCCATGGTTGGACGTTATCGTGGATTTATAAGCTATTTAAAACAAAATGTGTCAGGGGTGTTAGCAATACATTGCGTCATCCATCGACAACATTTAGTTGCTAAAAATTTGAGTGTTAGATTGCATGAATCACTTCATTTAGTCATTGATGCAGTAAACCGAATCAGAAGCAACGCGTTGAATACGCGGTTATTTGCGCAGTTGTGTGAAGAAATTGACGAACACTTTCATCAATTACTCCTTCACACTGAAGTACGCTGGCTGTCGAAAGGCTTATGTTTGACAAGATTTTTTGCACTTTTTGAGACTATTTTAGAATTTCTGGATACTAAAGATAAAATTTTAAAAGAAAATTTAATGAAGAGGAAAACAGACATCGCCTATTTAACAGATTTGTTTACAAAATTTAATATGGTTAATTTGCAATTACAAGGCGACAGTTTAAATTTGATTAAAACAAAGTCCATCTTATCAGCGTTTCTTGCCAGAGTTAAACTAATGAAGCAAAATATTGGACGGGGCGAATTTTCTCAGTTCCCCAATTTGTCACAGACAAGCTGCCAGGAAGACGACGTGTCAACTTACGTTCAACATTTAAATGCCCTCTATTCAGATTTTGAATCTAGGTTTGAGGATATTTTGACTATGGTAATACCACCGTGGATAATTAATCCATATGGTGACATAGAAGAAACGAATGTCATAATACAAGAGGAACTGACTGAAGTACAAACGAAGAACTTAAGGTTCAGTTTAAAAACGGATATCAGCAATTCTGGCTGCAAAACAACATACCCGTTACTTATCCCGTATTATGGAATATAGCGAGGAAATTTTTAATGTCCTTTCCATCGTCATACCTAGTGGAAAGGGGGTTCAGCGCTAACGAAAAAAGGAAACAGACTGGACATCATTAGCCGAGGAGATTTAAGATTAACCCTTACAAAATTGACGCCAAATGTTGATAATTTATTATTAAAGCATCAGGTTCATCCTTCTCACTAAAAATATTGTTTTATTGCTTATGTTATTTTATTTATAGTTTATTTTATGTTTATTGGTGTCTGACCAATAAATGCCCGCATTGGGAATAAATGCCCGCATTAATTTTTTTAAAGAACCCTCCTTTATAGAAAATATTTTTTTTAAATTATTCTGAAAATTCAAGGATAGGTACACACTAAAATTCGTTAATTTTTTGCCTATTTTTAGATAACTTAAACGTATAAGAAGCGGAATTTAATCAAACTAACAGTGAAATTATTGTAGAACATACGTTTATGTTATAATTAATAAACGAACTCGCTTATTGTACTATTTTAAGTAAAAAACTTTTTTTTATTATTTTTCACTTTTTTTATTTTATCCCTCTTATTTTTTTTTTTAAATGTGGGCACTTATTCCCAATGCGGGCACTTATTGGTCAGACACCTGTTTATTTAATGTTAGGTATATTTTACAGAACAGATACAAAATTTTATTTTGAGTAGTTTTAATTTAAATTCAATTAATAAATGTATAAATTAACATGTCTTTTTACTTTAAGTTTTTAACACTAAACTTCACTACAGTTAGAAATTTACAGGAAATCAATATCAGGTAAGTAGGGGGTCTACCCAACACGGAAAAACATGGCAAGGGGTCTACGACACAAAAAAGTTTGGGGAACTCTGTGCTAAACAGTGATTCAAACTACAATCTGATTTACAAACAATCGGCACTGTGCGTCTACACAACGCCTGGGTTGACTTCTGACACACGTTGTACCGTTTCACCTGGTAAGACGAATACAAATGGTTATTCGCTGGCGGCTGCTTTTAATATCGCATCGCAGATTTTTTTTGAGCCTAATATCCTGGTTATCTTAGGCCAAGAAATAAGGGAATTTTGTACAAGGAAATCCTACATTTTGCTGGTTCTCTGTAGACTATTACTTCCTAATGACAAGTTCAGATTGGCATCATGATAGAGCTGGAGCATTTGCCGCCATTTTAATAAACGCGTTTGATCCAAGATCTCTAAAACGTTCGATCCAATGTAAAAGAATAATAGAAACAATAAAATCCTTCGTAATGTTGCTGACGTATGGTTAACAAATTACGAGAAGTTAAGGGCCAAAGGTATATGCAATGATATTTCTGCTTATAATGGGTAAACTACGAATCTAGGCGTATAAAACACTCCTATTTCTTGTAGAGAATGAAATTTGTACGTTTTTTGAGACCTTCATGGTTCTTAAAATATAAGGAGGGAAAATTGAAAATTAACTTCATAATCATTATCAAGAATACAATTTTAAAGTAAATCATCTTTTAATACCACGTACAAATATGATAATTTGTGATATTTTCATTATGAAGGTCAAGTCTCTCACTCCCAATAGTCTCTCTATCTCTATATTTTTTCACTGAGTAATTTCAATGATCGTTGCAGCGATTTTAATATAAGAGGATACGTAGTGCATAATGCTGGTTTATGACGTTGATCCCTTTCCATTAAAATCGTTGCAACGGTGGCTGAGGATACCTAGTGAGAAAATGGCCTATAGACTAATGGAAGTGAGTGTTTTGTATTTTCATCATAAAATATCCTAAAGTACTACCTTTTCCAATCTTACGCGTCGCAGTAAAAAAATTGATTCACTCTGAAGTGGTATGTTTGATAATAGATAATGACTGATGGAATTCCCCACGTGAAATCATGTTGTATCCTGACACGTGGACAAGGTTCTTAGAGTGGGGAGTATTAACCGCGACTGATTTGATACGAATTTCTGACTTTCGCTCCTTATACTTCAAGAACCATCAAGGTGTCAAAAAAACTTTATATAGAAATATTTATTCTTTACAAAAAAGGATAGTAGGGTTTTTATGCTTAGGTTGTTAGTTTAGCGAAAACATCATTACATGTACCTTCACCCTCAAATCTCTCATAAGCAAATTTTTATAGAACCAAAATGATATAGAATTGTTTGTATCACTTTTTTCATAGGATCGATGGCTTTCAAGATTTTTGATCAAACGCGTTTTTCAAAATGGCGGTACATGCTCCAGACCTATTATGACGCCAATTTGAACTTATCATTAGAAAGCAATAATATATAAATATACTGTCCTCAAAATTGCAGGCAAATGTACGTATTTAGTATGTTAAAGAGTTTACTTTTGTATTGCAATTATTGTAAAAAATTCCAAATCCGATGTATCGCCATACACATCTTTGGATATGTTCACTCGACTTTTCAAATGTCGCAAAAGCTGCTCCACGAACCCTGCATTTTAAAAGTACTCATAAACTAGCTGACAGGTTAAATCGGATGAAAATTATGGAAATAACTAAATTGGGTGCATCATATGCTAGTTCAAACATTTGAAAATATTTGCTATACAATGCATTGCAAGGTATTCAGTCCACATATTTTTACGAATGCGATGTGCTAATCTTTATACTATAGTTTCTTGCTGCCTTTAACAATGATGAAAATTGAATAATAAAATGGTAACTGGTAACCTAAATATTGGATTTATTTATATCTACTGTTTACGCTATTGTATTTAAAATATCTAAGGAACAAACCATATGAAATTTCGTTTCGTGAATATTCAATAGCGGCTTACGGAAATCATTTTTGATTCCTTGTATATTAAAAGAAGATTAGACCACTTATTTTTTCCTTTGATTATTACTTCTAAATGAGTAATTGGTCGAGAAAAACATTAGCGAAAGTATTGGAGATTTGAATACAATGAAGCTGTATTTGCCCAAGTCCCCCCATTACAATTATTCCAAAGTCGTACTGCTTTAATTGGTCAACAAATGAATAATTAAAAAACTACTGGACGACGGATGTATGACGCAATGAATAAATAGGAATTGTAATACAGGGTGAAAACGTTTTTCAACGTTTCAAATCACACTAATAATATTTTAAGACTGTTGGGAAATGAGGTTAACTATAGCTCATTGGTACTTTGTGAATATCCCAATAATTGGCATAATTGAAAAAGGGGCTCAATGTTAAAAAAAGGACAACCGACCAACATTTGCACCTTACTCTTCTTTCAGATAGATCGGTAATTCCTGCTAGATACATTAATTTTGGTTTGCAAGTTTAACAATAAGCAATTAGATATTTTAAAGTACGTGATCTGTAAATTAAGTGATGAGACCGATTTTTTTGTTATTGAAATATAATTACAACTTTATATTATCACCCGCAAAATAACTTCTTTCTGAAGCCAACACAGCGCTGGAGACGGTTCTCCCACTCCTTATGGTAATGCTGGAATTTGAATGTTTTCGACTGTCCCAAAATGAGTTCCTTTGAGGTGATTTTTCAACTTCGGAAAGAGAAAAAAGTCACAAGGACTCAAGTCAGGCGAATAAGGAGGCTGAGGAGCCACAGGAATGTTTTTACTGGCCAAAAACTCGTTTATTGGAATTGCTGTTTGACAGGGAGCATATCAGCTTCGTGGTTTATCTTCAATTATCTCTCCCTTCTGAAAAAGCCTGAAACCACCGAAAAAACTGGGCTCTAGACAAACCATTATCTCCGTAGGCCTGTTTAGCAAGAGTTTACGTTACACTGTGCCCAACTCTGACTCAAAACCTGATACCATATCGTTGTTCTAACTCGATGTCACTCATTTTTAGAACACAATAGAAAAAACTGTTTCACAAAAAAATCGCTACGAACAACCAAATGACTCGAACGAGTTCAAACTTCTACTGAAGCACAAAATACATAAGACTGAAGAAGTGGGAGCTGCACGTTGAACAGTGGCAACACCGTTGACGTATGTCAAATAGTTGCGCCGCCTACTTGCCTGGAGATCTAGAGGAACTAACGAAAGAATGCCAAGAATGCGCCTGAAATAAGGAATGCTAGGAATGTGCCTGAGGTTTCGTTTGTTCACAATTTGAAATCTGCTGAAAATGATATTTTCGATATTGAAGGATTATTTTATGAACATACAGGGTTATCCAAATTAAGTGTCCAACATTAGTAACTTTGTTATTAGTGAAAATACAAAGTTGTTTGAATTAGCAAACTAGTAGCATTTTTAACGCTGGTAAAAATGAGAAATAAAAAAAAACAATTGAGAGTCGTTATTTTGATTTTTTTCAGTAAAATAACATTTTTTTAAATGGAAACCCCTGTATATTATATTTTTTTCTGTTAAAGCATCAAATTTTAAACAAAAAAGTTCATAATGACTTTTCCGCTAAAGTCAAAAATAAAGTCAAAATAACGATAAATATTTTTAATTATTTGCAGTATTATAATATTAAGACGGCTATGAAAACAACATGGCGTTCGCGATTTGACAGCATTAAGATAAGCGACAAATTGTTAAACTGGACATACTCGCAACTAGAAGGCTTTGGAAAACAATGATAAAATCAAATAATGTCAAACATTAGTGTAAATACTTGTTTATAAGCTTTATTGTGTCATTAATTTAAAGAAAAATGTTCTCCCATGAAGAAAAGTGTGATATGTTAGAATGCTATTTAGTGTGCAGAAAATCCTCCTTGAGAGCAAGAATTATATCCCGCTCGCATTCTACCGTATGAACGATATTTTCTGAGACTTTATCGAAAATTTAGGGGCAACGAAAATGTTTTTGCTAAAACAAGGGCAAAAAAAGAATTCATAATAAGCGAGGCCACGGAAATTGCAGTTATTGGATATTTTGAAGCTTATCGTGAGAATTCAAAAGCAGATATTCTCAACGACTCTAATTTCAGTTATGGTACTGTTCAAAGGATTTTAAAAAAATACAAATTTATTCCGTATAAGTACCGACCAGTTCAAACGCTTT